CAGCACCTCAGGTATGTTTCTGCATGCTTTACCAACATTTCTGACCACCAAGGAGATAGCACCCAACTGCTTTGCAAGCTTTGAACAATATTATAATTAGGCTTTAGAAAACTGCTTAGTTAATGCATTTTTTCTATTTTTTTTCTCCGTGTGATTTCGCTTCAAATCTGTAACCTCTCCCCAGCTTATCTGAAAGCAGTGAGTTATAATTTGCATAATAATAACCTATACTTTTAAGAATGAATTTCATCAGTTTAGACAGGTTCTAGTTTTAGACAGGAAATAATTGATTGAAGGGCTCCTTTCCATGATAAAATACAAATATTGGGAGAGCAGAAGAGTCTGGTGCTCAGATTTTGGTGCTCGAGTGCGTTTGGTTCTGGAAGCCTCTGTGGTAAATAAATGAAGTGCGCTTTGCTAACAGGGGGTGTTTTTGGGGGTTATTTATTAACCCTTTTCCTCCCGTGTCCCACCGTGGCCGGGTGCAGTTCTGCCCGGTGCCGCCAGGCGGGGCTGGACTGAACCGAGCTCGGCTCTTCCCGAAATTCCAAAATTTCCCTTTCCGATGGTACCGGGAGACAGGCGGCACCAGCCTGGCTCCGCAAGAACGCTGCCCATCCGCTGGCAGTAACTTTAATAAATTTAATTTATTATTAAATTTTATTGGAGCAAAGAGGCGTTTCCTGCGTGTGCTGAGGGAAGCAGAAGGGACCTGGAACCAGCTCAGGTCCGGAAGGTCCCAGCAAAGCCCAGCTCAGCCAGAGCAGCTCTGCTCCCAAACACCCCACAAGCAAACAGCTTCAGCAAAGCCATTCTAAACACATCCTGCAGTTTCCTGCTGCTTTCTCTCCTTTTGTGCCATTTTCCTCATTAGCTCTATTCTTTACTCTAATTCTTTGCTGCGGAACAGTTGAGCTTAGCCTGGCAAGACAACCCCACCTTTGATCATATAATCGTGGCACTAAACAGCCTGACACTATGAAATTTTTGCAGTCTCGGTATGGCTAAATGTACAAAGCCTTGCCCGTAATTTCTCAGTAATTAACTTTTCCACATAAAGTAAGAACCAGAGATAAAATATGCATTCCCTGTTTTTTTTTTTCTGCTATGCCTTCTTTAGTCCTCAAGTAAACAGGACTTAATTACAGCTGTTAAAACAATGCTGCAGTTTCTTCACTAACATCTATTTTCTCACTCAAAAAAAAACCCAATTACAATCCCTAAGGGAAAGATTTTCCTCACCCCATCCACCAAGATCTACGCAGTCACAGGGAAACATAAAACAAATTTTTCAAAGGAAATATCACAGGTTTTAAAATCTAGAGTATCTAAACTGTTTTCAACTATTTTCTGTGCTCAAGGGCACGTTACAGATTTTTACAAAGTAACTGTTAATGTGATCAGAGTAGATTTCGTCTTGAAGTCCATAGGTCACAGAATATAAAAGCGACTTGCAAACTTCAGAATATAGAAACACAGGCTGATTCCCAGCAATTACTGGCAATCTAAGCAGGTCCTGCCAGTATTAAGTGAAATAGAAAAACTTGTATTAAAGTTTTCCCACAATTATTTTCAGTTATGTTTTTTGATAGTGTACTTGATACAAATAAGCTGCAGTTAGAAAGGCATTGGGGGGGTGTTCTTTCAAACATTGGCACTCCTTCAGAATCACACATCAAACATCAAACCTCATTCTCCAGCACTTTATTCATAAGTATTTATTCATGTTCTCCCTTTACAGCCCTCGCAGGCCATGTCCATGCTGTGAATAAAGAGTGGCCCAGCCACAGAGCTGAACACTAGCCCAGGACAGTCGCCTCCCTCGAGCATTACCTCATTCCCTGGCTCTGCTCTCAGCTGCTCGTACCAATTCCTGCCAACACAAACCTGCTCCTCAACGTGTTAGACCTAAAAATGATCCTGGGGCCAGTGAGTGTGGTGGGGTCAGGGGTTAGACCCTGACCCGTTCTCATTTAGCAGCAGGCTGAAGGCAGTGGACCCAACTCTGATGTCATGAGAAGGTGAAAAGCATTTACGATCCTCTCTGATCTTGCATATCATAATAAATCTTGCTTTTATGGGTTGATTTTATGAGATGGAGTTAAGAATTAGCAAAATTAAACACACTCTTCTTTTTTTTATTCACTTCTGAGGTGGCTTCAGCACACTGATTTGGATCAAGCTCTACTTGTTTGCCACAAGCTCATTTTTTAACCACTAGAAAAATATCCTACACTTCACCTTTAAACTTCCCATGTGTTTTCGACAGATAAACTGTTCTTCTACCGCTCTCTTCGGTGGAACATGTTGTTTATCCCAATGAGTTTGGAAAATAACCCCAAAATACCACACTTAGGTGGAAAAATGTATTACTTTGTTTGGAAAATCATCCTGAAACCCAAAGATTTTCACTCCCCTCCCTACATGGGACCGAAACTAAAGGTGCTCATAGCAAATGTGCCATGTGAGTATTGCACATTTACAAAAATCTAATAAATAATTGCTAAATTCACAATTCCATTAGGATTCTTCACATTACCTGTATATGATAAGTGTATAAAAACAGGATAAAAGTTATTGAAAGGTTTCTCTATCTTTAGAAGTCTTCCTTCAACTGTTCTCATGCCACTAGCTAAGTCAAAATATTACCCTACAGCAGAAAATCCTTCACAGTGCAATTCAGCCCGAGGAAGTCCTCGGAGATGGTTGGGCAACAAGGGAGTCAAGCTGCTGTAGGAACAAGAATTACAGTGCTGGAAACCTCCAGAAGCAGCCTAAAGCCTCCAGGCTCAGCAGGCTCAGCCCCCAGGCTGCTCTAGAGAGGCAGAGCCAAGATTGTGTCCTCCCACAGCAAGCACAATATTCCCTGCAGTTGATGCCTTGATGTTTCTAAATCATCTTCCATTTTGAGACAAGCGATATCCACCAGCTCCTGCGCTGGCATCCTGATTGATGTCCTACAGAATTCTGGTGTCTGCTCTTCTTTGGGAAATAATAGGAGAACACATGAAAGAAGATGTAATTTCTCAAGGGTAGGAGCTGCCCTCCTGCCTCCAGTCTCTGTGCTGTGTTAACATCATTGTGTCAACAAAGCCAAACTCCCCCAGTACAACTCCTCAAGAAATCCCTCTAGCAATGGAGCATATTCCATAATACCACAGCATATTTTAATGGGTTTTTTACAAGAATGGTGTTTATCCTTCCTTTCAAGAAGCCCAAAATTCCACATGTTATAATGGATAATAATTCAGAACACAGTAAAGGAAATTCAACAATTTTGAATGTCTCAACATGGGTCTTGGCTGTCAGAAGTTTAGAATATACAGAATTAGGAGACTGTTTCTTTTTCATAATAATCAAATACAATTAAAAACCATCTTGTACTTTGCACCCCTCTCTGATGTCCCAAACCACCACCAAAATGCATTGTTTGCATTTTTTTTTAAAACTACACAAATTTGGCATATACTCACCTATAGAAAATGTATCTGAAAAGCAGAGAGTGGGATGTATTAAATGTTTTACATCACTGGTGATATATCAATTTTATGTATTATTCACTCTTGAAGGAAAAACCTACTAAACCTTATCTCTCTAGCCTACAACAACACTTGCTCACACAACGTGCTCTTTCTGCAAAGACACCCATAGGCTTTAGAAAGAATTTGTTTGGGAATGTTCTAAAATGTTTCCCCCTCTCTACACTGCTTTTGAAGACAGTCACAGTAAGTGAGGTCTCTCTAAAGGCATCCCCTGTCAGAGGATCCTGGGATCTCACTGCAGAAAGGAGAGAGCAGGGAAATTAAACAGCAAACTGTTTGATGATTTTGAGAACTTGCTGGTTCTCTGATTTTGGTCAGTTTTAGGAGAAAAAAACCCAGCACCTGATTCTGGAATAAACAACATCTTTTACACCCATAGGCAGGTTATTCCAAGAGATGGAAGTTCAGGATACCACGCCTCACAATCAGTTTGGGTCATTTTTAACAAGTGCAGTGTGATGAGGTTTTATAATCTTGGTGTTATGCACAAAAAATTCTAAACTATAGTCAATGTTATAGTAATAAATAAGGGGTTAGGGCTTTTTTCTCTTAACACTTGACATTTTCACAGTTGTGTGATCACTTAAAATTTGAAAGAAAAAAAAAATGTTCCAAAACATTTGAAATTTTTAAACAATCTTTTTTCACTTTATAAATGGAAAATGTCAAATCACATGAAAATCACTGACCTTTTCTAGTTTTTCAAAGTGTTCTCTGAGGAACTTCATGGGTCGGTCTGGCTTTGCTATACAGAGGTTTACAATGCATTCTTTTAAAATCTGTTGGATGTTGTGTTTCTGAACATAGAGTTCACATCCCTTCAGGCTCTCATCTTCTTCCACATTGCAGGAAGCAGCAGCAGCCATCTTCAGGCTTGTAAACAGAAAACACAACCTAGGTAAGAAAATGGTGCAAGAAAGAGATGAGACAGTTCCCAAATCCTTTGTCAGAGAGATCTGAAGAGCAAAGACATTTTAATATTGCCTGTTGCCTACTGAGGACCTATTGAATTTGAACGTTTTCATGTTCTGGGGTTGTACGTGGAAATGCTGAACAGTGTCATCTTTGTATCATCAACATCCCACCAAGTACACAAAGAGGATTTTAACTCCTAGATAGTGATCAATCTTTGGGAAAAAACCCCAACAAACCGGTGAAATTGACCCTACGAGGCAATGAGTTTCAAAGACACTATTAAATGATGGTGTAAAGCCTTGCTTTGCTCTCCCCGTGGGGATTTGCTCCTGTCATCAGAGACACGGCTTTTTGCTACAGAGATTTTTGGGCAATTTTAGCATCTCTCTCTTTCCCAGCCAGCGACCTGTCCCCTTCGCGGCCCCGGGAGAGCTGGGGAGGAGCGGGCAGAGCCCTCCGAAGGGAACTGAGTTCCCCAAAGGGAAGTTGGATGACCTGGAGGGAGAACAGCCCCAATCCCTCTTTATTTCCCCCAGCGAGGTTATGACCGCTCCGTTAGGAGCCCAGAGCGCCGGGGCATCTTTACCCCGGCCCCGGCCTCTCTGCCCGGATCTGTGGATGCCGGGGGCGGCCGGGGCTGTGCGGGGCAGGCCCCGGGAGGCTCCGAGCGCCGGGGAAGTGCCCCGGGCCCCGCCGGGCGGATGTGTTCCCCTATCCCGGTCCCTGTCCCTGTCCCGGTCCCTGCCCCGCCGCACGGCTC